ATATATCCAAAGGCGAGTTCTGGAAAACGTGGTGTTGATTATGGCTAGCTGGTGAGGCTTATGATGCAGAGACTGCCATTACACTTTCCCTAATCTTTATCGGACCACGTTTCTGTTTATATTTCTGGTCGCTATGTGGCTGCCTATGAGGGCTCTGAAAACACACTAAGACAGGTAGTCTCTTAAACCTATTGACGCACGTCCTTCATACTATGGGCAATTTTATTATAAACCCTTTTTTTCTGTAGAGCATTGCCTTATCACTCGGCCCTTAAGGCACTCTCCCGTCACCAACCTTACCCTTCTTTCGCGAGAAGGGTCTATAATTCTGGCCAGCTGTCTTTGCTTTTCCCACTCGCCTTTTTAAAAATAACAATGACCATTTACAATTGCTTACTTCATCACTTATCCTTCCAGGTCTATGTTCCGTTGCCTGACGCCAAGCAACGCCTCAATATCCTAAATGTGCATTTGCGCCAAGAGGTTCTGGACAGTTCAGTAACGCCGGCTGCCCTGAAAAAGTTCGCAGAGCGTGCCGAGGGTCTTTCAGGCAGCGACCTCTTCGAGATTTGTCGGGAAGCTGCCCTCTGCAGTCTCCGTTCTTGGCTCTCCGCCTCCTATCGTAACGAGAACGCTAACGGGTAAGACACGTTCCATGGCACTGTTTGCTCCCTACATTGCCTAGCACACTGAGGTAGTGACGACCTGTATGAAAATACAATGCCAAAGATGGCGTATTCGCTTTGTCGCACTGACAGACGAACTGAGTGCATTACCGCACGCAGTTTTCATTCCACCCTGATCCCAACTTAAACTTGCAGTAGCTGACCTGTTTCATGAAATTTAAACAGGCATTTGTACTGCCTACGGCTGTGATCATGTCTGATCAAACCGGCTTTGATGATATCATGGATTGTACCTCTGTACTTTCGACGAACCTTGGCAACGGATCTGAATGGCTCAACTTATTGTCTTCTTCAGCGACAGAGATCGACTATCAAAAGTCCCAGGTCAACTTCCATGTGATACCGAATTGTGTGGACCCAGGTCCGCAATTCCTTCACGTGGGCATCGGCGTCCGATCGAGGGCAGTAGCACGGATCACCTGAAGCAGACGAAGAATAAAGTGCTCAACCCACATCAATTGTCTTTTTTGGCTGGTCTGAATTATCTTCGTGATGTTATTGCAACGAATGCAGACTGTCTCGATGTATTTTAATCGAAGGATCGTCCTCAAGAAGTGGTGGTGAGATACTCCCAGCTTTCGTTCATATTAAATGCGCAAAGCTCAGCCTTCACAAGTAACCAGACTAACCGGATGGATGTGCGGCACGCGCAAACCATGGCGATGGAGATCTAGCGTCAGACTCAAAGACTTGAGAAAACCCGGTGAACATAATCGATTCGTCTGACAATGTCGTCCTTACTCTGTCCATTCGACAGCAGGTTCGTGTGTGTGTCGTATTCCATGTAGGGAAATTGATGTAGCAAACCTTGGGCGCCGTCAGGCGGGTGAGAACATGACGAAGACCCGTTTGTTGTGGTGACCGCACAGACTCTTCCCGAGTTTTTGTGAACCTTTATACTTCCGCAAGTTGCCAGTCATTAAACTCGAAAAGGGCCTTCTCATGGTCAGATACACACCTTAAATATTCATCGTCATCCGAGTA